AGATGGCTTTTATTACCTTAAAGTATATTCCTTCTATGCTGATTTTGCTGAAGGTTTTCATCATAAAAGGGATGCTGGATTTTGTCAAATGTTTTCTGTGTGATTATGTGTTTTTGTTTGTTTTTCTCTTAGACAGAGTCTTGCTCTTTTTGCCCAGGCTGGAGAGCAATGGTGCAATCTCAGCTTACCTTTGCCTCCCAGGTTCAAGGGATGCTCCTGAGTAGCTGGGATTATAGGTGCCTGCTACTACGCTCCGCTAATTTTTGTATTTTTAGGCGGGCTTCACCATGTTGGCAAGGCTGGTCTCAAACTCCTGACCTTGAGTGATCTGCCGGCCTTGGCCTCCCAGAGTGCTGGGATTACAGGCGTGAGCCACCACACCCAGCCTGATTTTGTTTTTAATTCTGTTTATGTGGTGTATCACATGTTTTGATTTCTGTATGTTATACCATCCCTGCATTCCTGTTTTGAAATCCACTTGATCATGGTAGATTATCTTTTTGATGTACTGTTGGATCTGGTTAGCTAGTACTTTGTTGAGGATTTTTGCATCTGTGTTCAACAGAGATATTGGTCTGTAGTTTTCTTTTTTTTTTTTGTCATGGCCTTTCCTGGTTTTGGCATTAAAGTGATACTGGCTTCACAGGATGATTTAGGGAGGATTCCCACTTTCTCTGTCTTTCGAAATAGTTCCAGTAGGATTGGTACAGTTCTTTGAATGTCTGATAGAATTCAGCAGTGAATCCATCTGGTCCTGGACTTTTTCTTGTTGACAGTTTTTTAAATTACTGTTTCAGTCTCAGTGCTTGTTATTGATCTGTTCAGATTTTCTATTTCTTCCTGGTTTAATCTAGGAGGGTTGTATATATCCTGGAATTTATCCATCTCCTCTATGTTTTCCAGTTTGTGAGCATAAATGTGTTCATAGTAGCCTTGAATGATCTTTCGTATTTCTGTGGTATTGGTTGTTAATATTTCCTGTTTCATTTCTAATTGAACTTATTTAGATCTTCTCTCTTTTCTTGGTTAATCTCACTAATAGGCTATCAATTTTGTTTACCTTTTCAAAGAACCAGCTTTTTGTTTCATTTATCTTTTGTATTTGTTGTTGTTTCAGTTTCATTTAGTTCTGCTCTGATCTTTGTTATATCTTTCCTTCTCCCAGGTTTGGGTTTGGTTTGTTCTTGTTTCTCTAATTCTTGAAGTGTGACTTTAGATTGTCAATTCGTGCTCTTTCATACTTTTTGATGTAGGCACTTAATGCCGTGAACTTTCCTCTTAGCACTGCTTTTGCTGTATCTCAGAGGTTTTGTTAGGTTGTGGCACTATTTTCATTCAGTTCAAAGAATTTTTTAATTTCCGTCTTGATTTCATCGTTGACCCAAAGACATTGAGGAGCGGATTATTTAATTTCCATGTATTTGCATGATTTTAAGAATTCCCTTTGGAGTTGATTTCCAGTTTTATTCCACTGTGGTCTGAGAGAGTATTTTATATAATTTTGATTTTCTTAAATTTATTGAGACTTGCTTTGTGGCCTATCACATAGTCTCTATCTTGGAGAATATTCCATGAATGTTCTGATGAATCGAATGTATATTCTGCAGTTGTTGGGTACAATGTTCTGTAAATACCTGTTAAGTCCGTATGTTCTAGGGTATAGTTTAAGTCCATTGTTTCTGTGTTGACTTTCTGTATTGAAGTCCCCCACTATGAGATGAGGTTCTATTTTGGTGTATTTTGAGATTTTGCTTCAAAATTTAGAACTCCTTTTAGCAGTTTTTGTAAACTGTGCTGGCTTGGTAGTGGCAAGGCAAATTTTCTCAACGCATGAAAAAGACTGTCTTTTCATTTATGAAGCTTAGTTTCGCTGCGTACAAAATTCTTGGCTGATGATTTTGTCAGCTAATAATTCTTTAATGAAGCTTAAAAATAGGACCTTAATCCCTTCTAGCTTATAGGGTATCTGCTGTTATTAATCTGATAGGCTTTTCCTTTATAGGTTACCTCACAGCTCTTAAGATTTTTTTCCTTCGTCTTGACTTTAGATAACCTGATGACTGTGTGCCTAGATGATGATCTTTTTGTGACAAATTTCCTGGGTGTTCTTTGAGCTTCTTGTATTTGGGTATCTAGATCTCTGACAAGGCCAGAGAAGTTTTTATTCTTTTGTCTTTGTCTTTGTTGGATTGGGTTAATTCAAGAGCCTTATCTTTGAGCTCTAAAATTCTTTCTTCTACCTGTTTGAATTCTATTGTTGAAACTTTCCAGTGTATTTTGCATTTCTCTAAATGTGTCTTTCATTTCCAGAAGTTGTGATTGTTTTTTATTTATGATATCTATTTCTCAAGATTTTTATCTGTATCTTGTTTGTTTTTTAATTTAAGTTGGTTTTCATTTTTCTCTGATGCCTCCTTGAGTAGCTTAATAATTGACCTTCCAGATTCTTTTCTGGCAATTCAAAGATTTATTCTTGTTTTGGATCCATTGCTGGTGAGCTAATGTGATCTTTTAGGGGTGTATAGAACCTTGTTTTGTCATATTACCAGTATTGTTTTTCTGGTTCCTTCTCATTTGGGTAGACTATGTCAGAAGAAAGATCTGAGACTCAAGGGCTGCTGTTTAAATTCTTTTGTCCCATAGGGTGATCCCTTGATGTGGTATTCTTCCCATATCCTAGGGACAGGGCTTCCTGAGAGCCAGACTACAGTAATTGTTAATGTTCTTCTGAGTTGAGCCACTCAGCAGAGCTACTGGGCTCTAGGCTGGTGGTACTGGAGAGTGTCTGCAAAGAGTCCTGTGATATGGTCTGTCTTCAGGTCTGTATGCCATAGATAGCAGCACTTGATCTGATGGAAGTATTAATAGGAGAGTGAAGTGGACTGTGTTAGAGTACTTGGTTGTAGTTTTGTTTAGTGCACTGGTTTCCTAGAAGGCTAGTTATACTAGCACTGAAGTTATCACATGGGCAGACTCAGGACATCTTGTTGGCCAGGATGTTACAGGCAGTGGAATGTTACAGGATGTTACAGCGGTTGTTTTCTCCTTTCTTGGAGCATGGTTGTTCTGTTGAGTTGCTGTAATGGCTTGAACTGGTTGGTTCAAGGAGGTGGTGCATTCAAGAGAGTATCAACTGGTAGTATAGGGGTGATATAAGCATGCCCTAAGGTTTCCTGGATAAGTATTCAGGTTTCTCAGGCAATGAGCAGTGCCATAGAGCTCCCATGAGTTTATGTCTTTTGTTTACAGCTACCAGGGCCATTAGAGAAAGACCATCTGGTGGAGGCAGGGTTAGTGTGTCTGAGCTCAGACTCTCGTTGGGCAGGGCTTGCTGGGACAGCTGTGGGTGATAGGAGTGGTAGTTCACAGGCCAATGGTGTTATGTTCTAATGGGATCAAGGCTTCCTTTGCTGCTTCATACACATCACCAGGGAAATAAGGGAAAGCCAGCAGTGACAGGCCACAGCCAGCAAGGCCAGACTCACTCCTGCCATGCTCCCCCAACAGCCAATGGAGCCAAATTTATATCCATGCTTCCAGTGCACAGGGCTGAGATATTGCCCCAGACTATAAGCCGGCCTCCCCACTGAGAAAGCAAGCAGGGCTTTCAGGCCCTATCCATCTGCCTGCCACAGCTTCTGTGCTCATATCTACACTTCCCATTTGTCCCCTCCTCCCACAGATTCTGCCCAGGAAAATTCATGCTCATTTGAAATTATTACAAAGTTCAGCTGAAAGTCTCTTTCTCCCTGTGATCCTTCCCCAGTTTCATTGGCTGCCCTCTCCAAATACCCCTGTGAGATAAAGTCAGAAATGGCTTCCCTGGGGACTGGGAGTGCCTATAGGGCTCTTCCTGCTGCTTTTTCTACTTTTATATTTTGCCTGGCTCTCTAAATTCATTTCAGTTCTCCTTCTCCTATGATCTGGATTTTCAGGTTCCCCAGTGAGAATGTGTGCAGAGGTGGACTTCCCCTTCTCACACTGTTTTTTGTTTGTTTTGAGACAGAGTCTCACTCTGTCAGCCAGGCTGGAACAGTGGCATAATGTTGGCTCACTGCAACCTCCACCTCCCGGGTTCAAGCGATTCTCCTGCCTCAACTTCCCAAGTAGCTGGGACTACAGTTGCACACTACCATGCCTGGCTAAATTTTTTTCTTTTAGTTGAGACAGGGTTTTACCATGTTGGCCAGGATGGTCTTGAACTCCTGACCTTAAGTGATCCACCCACCTCAGCCTCCCATAGTGCTGGGATTACAGGCGTGAGCCACCACTCCCGGCCACCCTCTCATACTTTCGACCTTGAGAGCTCATTTGGAGGTTCTAGGAGGGGAGTGCAGCTATTCATATACCCTTGACCGAAGACTGGTCTTTTGTCGGGGATGGTCATTCTCTTCAACCAAGCACACAGCTTCAGGAGCCCTCTGGCACTTTGGGCACTCAGTTTTTCTGCTGTCTTACAGATTTTGCAGCAGCAAGCCACTTCTTTCAAAGGATCCACGAATTCTTTTGTTTTTTTGTGTGTGTGGTACGTTCCTGCAGTAGTTCTTGGAGCCAAAGTTCATGATGTGAGTCTCCACATGCTGTTCCGTCTGTCTGAATGGCAAGTTAGTCCTGCCTCCTACCTGCCACTTTCCCCTTACCTCAGTCTCATTTTTGTATAGAAAAAGGTTGAGATACATAGTATATATTACATGCACAAATAAAGAACATATGCTAAACATGGTTTACCTAGGTGCTTTACAATTGTTATCTTTATGTTTTTGGTGTTTTATCGATTTGTACAAGTATATGTTTTACACTGGGGTAGTTGGGAGGTTGGCAAGTTGGAAAAGAGAAAGGAAAATGATAAAAGGGTATAGTATGAATCAAATGACATATATAACCTGCTTACCGGCAAATTGATCCTTGGATGATTACATTAACTGATTTTTCTTGATGAGAATTTAGGGACTTTGTATGGCTTTCATTTCTGATCTTCATGATCCTCTCCTCTTTTTCAGTGACAGTAACAAGTAGCCAGAGTACTCCTGCCAAAGCCCCCAGGGTGAAGTGCAATCCATCCATTTCTTCCCCATCATCCGCAGCTTGTGCTCCAAGCTGTGCTGGAGACCTCCCTCTTCCTTCAAATACTCCTACGTTCTCTATTAAAACCCCTCCTGCCAAGGCCCGGTCTCCCATCAACAGAAGAGGTTCTGTCTCCTCTGTCTCTCCCAAGCCACCTTCATCTTTCAAGATGTCAATTAGAAACTGGGTGACCCAAACACCCTCCTCATCACCACCTATCACTCCACCTGCTTCCGAGACCAAGATCATGTCTCCAAGAAAAGCCCTCATTCCCGTGAGCCAGAAGTCATCCCAAGCAGAGGCTTGCTCTGAGTCTAGAAATAGAGTAAAGAGGAGGCTAGACTCAAGCTGTCTGGAGAGTGTGAAACAAAAGTGTGTGAAGAGTTGTAACTGTGTTACTGAGCTTGATGGCCAAGTTGAAAATCTTCATCTGGATCTGTGCTGCCTTGCTGGTAACCAGGAAGACCTTAATAAGGACTCTCTAGGTCCTACTAAATCAAGCAAAATTGAAGGAGCTGGTACAAGTATCTCAGAGCCTCCTTCTCCTGTCAGTCCGTATGCTTCAGAAAGCTGTGGAACGCTACCTCTTCCTTTGAGACCCTGTGGAGAAGGGTCTGAAATGGTAGGCAAAGAAAACAGTTCCCCAGAGAATAAAAACTGGTTGTTGGCCATGGCAGCCAAACGGAAGGCTGAGAATCCATCTCCACGAAGTCCATCATCTCAGACACCCAATTCCAGGAGACAGAGTGGAAAGACATCACCAAGCCCGGTAAGTCAGCAGGAGTGGGAAGATACATTTCCTAACTTAAAGGGGGCCAGAGACCCAGATCTCTCATCAGAATGCTTTAATAAAAACTATTTATTCCTAGTGCTGCCAAATTTAGCACATAAATACAGAACAAATTTTGCATGGGACATACTTTTACTAAAAATTATTTGTGCTAAGAAATTATTTTTGTTTGTCTGAAATTCAAATGTAACTGGATATGCTGTATTTTATCTGGCAACTCTGTTTACTCCCATTAAAATCCCTCCTGTCAGGGCCTGTACTTCTCAGTCCTGTTGCCTGATTCACTAAAGCCTTCATCATGCTCCAGGATATCAATTCAAAAATATCTCCCCTCTCTCCTGTTAGACAGTATGCCATCCTCTTTTTATAGATAAAGCTGTTGTTCATGGGAAAGTTGCCAACATCCGTAAGTAGATTTCCAGTTAGTAATTATATTTTATAATTATTTAAAATACATTGAAACTTAGATACTTACAAAGCAATTTCAGTGCAGAATATTTCTGGATTTTTATGATTTCTCCCCAATCTTTGATAATCATCTTACCACACCACAATAATACTTTTGACACCTATATCTATTATTTTTAACATTCAGTGTAGTGTCACTTATCTTTTTAGGACTCATTTCATTGACTGACTTAATATTTAAATTAGATAATATCAGTATCAGAGATTGCTGCCAGAAATAGGTTTGTGAACCCTGAAAAACAAGAATCATTACAATGGCGGAGGCAGAAGTAGCTGAGATCATTGGGTGAGCTATGGGCACCAGTCAGAGGGAATGGAAAGCTTATATTGTTTGCATGTTAAGGGGAGGTGGGTCAAGGAACTTTGCACTGTACTTCACAGTAGCTCTTTTTATGAGTTACGGAAATGGTGTTAAGATGATTGAAATAGAATCCAGAATCATCAGCATCATCTACCATTTTAAAGGGCAGAAGTTACATAACATTAGGCCTTCATGAGAGCAGGTGGGGGATATGAACACTTTTATTAAACTAAAAAAGTGTTCATATCCCCCACCTGCTCTCATGAGGGTGTATCCCATAATTTTAGAAAAAATAAACTGATATATTTTAAAGACTATTTAGTATACAAACTGCAATCAAGACCTTGCTATAGAAAGTTGGGGGGAAAGACAGTTATAAGGAATCTTTCCTTCTCTCAAAATTATGACTGCTCTTTATCCCTAGCCAAAATTTCCATTTTTTTTCAAGGGAGCTGGTCTCCGCTATGTGTTAGCAGAAAAGTAATTTCAATGAAAAACTATTTTTACTAATATATAAATCTTAAAATCTTTAAAAAGTAGAAATAGTGTACTGGTCTTGTAATTTCTTTGAAGCTAACAGTTCTTAAAAATTTTGTACCTTTGTCTATATGATGGTAATGTCAGCCTTCAAAAGAGAGTAAACAGCTCCCATTTGAATACCTATCTTGTGTGTAAACTGAAGGGGGCTGATTTATTAATTTATTTCAAAAAGGATAGTAATTGTAACCTCTTTGTTTCTTATTAGGTGACTTAGCTAATAAATGTTTTCTATCCACATGAAAAGTCTATGCCTTCTTTTCCTACATAGCATCTGTTAAGCTTTTACTATAATCAGTACAAGTCAGCCAAAAGAGACATTGCAATTCAAAGTATTTGGAGCTGAGGGCAGGTGCTATGGCTCACACCTGTAATCCCAGCACTTTGAGAGGCTGAGGCGGGCAGATCACCTGAGGTGAGTTCAAGGCTAGCGTGACCAAGATGGAGAAACCCTGTCTCTACTAAAAATACAAAATTACCCGTGTGGTAGTGCATGCCTGTAATCCCAGCTACTTAGGCTGAGGCAGGAGAACCCTTGAACCTGGGAGGCAGAGATTGCAGTAAGCCGAGATCACGCCATTGCACTCCAGCCTGGGTGACAAGAGCAAAACTCCGCCTCACAAAAAAGTATTTGGAGCTGAAAGCAAACCGACTAACAATCAAACTTCTAGACAGTGTAATTTAAGGTACTCCTTAGTAACTTGCTGAGGTAACAGTTGAACTTCAAGCAAATCTCTGAAATCTAAACTTTTTTCTTCTAGGTCACCATTACTCCCAGCTCCATGAGGAAAATCTGCACATACTTCCATAGAAAGTCCCAAGAGGACTTCTGTAGTCCTGAACACTCAACAGAATTATAGATTCGAATCTGAGTGAGTTACTGAGCTTTGGTCCACTAAAACAAGATGAAAAATACAAGAGTGACTCTATAACTCTGGTCTTTAAGAAAGCTACCTTTTCATTTTTAGACAAAATATTTTCAATGCTGAAATATACCTAATCTGGTTCTACTACCATAATGTATATGCAGCTTCCCCAGGATAGGGGGAATTTAAATTTGTGTTTAAATTTCATAAAGTAAATTTGTCACTTTAGCATTTTGAATGAATAGTCTTCACTTTTTAAATTATGCATCTTCTCTACAATAATGACATCCAGCTCATGGAGGCAAAAAACAAGTTTCTTGTTATTCTTAAACTTTCTGTGCTCAGTGGAAAGTATCTGCCAGCCACAGCATGAGGCCTATGAAGGCTGACTGCTGAAGAAATCCTCTGCTGAAGACCCCTGGTTCTGTTCTGCCTCCAACATGTATAATTTTATTTGAAATACATAATCTTTTCACTATGCTTTTGTGGGGTTTTTTAAAGTATGTGTAAAAATGTGATGTTTAGATAAGTACATTTATATATCAGTTCAGTGTTAAAATGCAGTTTCTTGAGTTAAAGTCATCTTTATTTTAAATGCAGTGATAAATGTCAGCTCTTTGGAGAAACTAGGAGAGCAACAACAGAAACCTGTGTCTTTTTTCTCTCCAGTATATCTCCCTTATGAGATTTCAGGTCCCCATGTTTTCACCAAGCAATCTACTATGTCAGCCAACCCAACATCACTTTCTACAGGAGGTTATGATTTTTGCCATTTACTAGAGGAAGATGTTTTATAAAATCAATTTGGGGTTTGAATTCAGGTGCAGCCATCAGTTCTCTAGGTGCTGTAGTGTTTTAAAAAAATAAGTCATCAGATTTTAAGAAAAAAGCGATGATTTCTTATTGATATTTTTATAAAACTATATAGCTCTTAACTGAAAATCCAGAACCAGAAACATAAATCTTGAGGTTATCTTCATGTACATAAAAAGCAATAGCCTTCTAGTATAGATAGCACTGAGCCAAAAAGTAATAGAATTTTCTCTAGATATTTAATACAGAGAGTGTATAGACTGACTCTAAGTTAATAATGTGCAAAATATCTTAAACATCCCTCCCCTTAATCAACAATTATGTATCAGTGATCGTGAACCATTGTTTTGTATTTTTCACCTTTGTAACCTCATGGAAAGAGGCTTTATGTACCTTCTAGTTACTATGTACTTAGAAGGGAGCCTCCTTCCAATCATGAAACTTCATTTGTTTTGAGGACCGTGTAGACTTTATGGTGAAAATCTATTCTTACTGACAACTTTTTAATTCCTTTGATCTTATAAGTTAAAGCTGTAACAACTGAAATTGCATGGGTCAAGTAAGCATAGTTTTATCCAGGGAGAAAAATAAGTAAAGGGAAGCCATAGAATTGCTCTGGTCAAAACCAAACACACCATAGCCTTAACTGAATATTTAGGAAATCTGCTTATATTTGGTGTTTGTTTTTTGACTGCTGGGCTTTGGGAAGATGTTATTTACGACCAGTATCTGCCAGTAATGCTGTTTATCTCACTTGCTTTGAAAACCATTTGGGGGAAAAAATCCTTGACAAAGAAAAAGAGTGGGCCAGGCACGGTGGCTCAAGCCTGTAATCCCAGCACTTTGGGAGGCCGAGGCGGGTGGATCACAAGGTCGAGAGATTGAGACCATCCTGGTCAACATGGTGAAACCCCGTCTCTACTAAAAATACAAAACATTAGCTGGGCATGGTGGCGCGTGCCTGTAATCCCAGCTACTCAGGAGGCTGAGGCAGGAGAATTGCTTGAACCCAGGAGGCAGAGGTTGCGGTGAGCCGAGATCGTGCCATTGCACTCCAGCCTGGGTAACAAGAGCGAAACTCTGTCTCAAAAAAAAAAAAAGAAAAAGAAAAAGAGTGATAAAGCAGATGATTTTGTTTGTATCCCTTCACATCTTCTGGCAGCACTACTGAGTGAAATTGGGATCAATTTGGCTGTCAGAAACTATACTGAGAGTCTACTGGGCATAACATGTCCCACGTGGAAAACTAGTGCTTTAAATGGGTGCCAAAGTTCAACTATAATGAGATAATTATCCCTGCCTATGTCAGTGTCAGACTGAGCTGATCCTGAATAATAAAGCATTTTACCTTATCCGATGTCCTTTTCTGAGCTTTTTGCGTTACCTAGAAGCAGTGTACACAAAAGAACTATAGTAGTAGTCAAGTATGCCTTCTACTTGTTCATTAAATAAAATATTTATTCCCAAAGTTATAATCTATTTCAAGCTGAAAAAGCTTTTAATAAAAAATATCTTGCTTGGGTCAGACCTTGAGCGTTTAAGATGGCTTGGATTTCTTCATAAAGGAGGGCGGAGTGATGTAGTTCTTTTTCTAAACAAGTATTTCCAGCACAAACTTTTCCATTGGAATACATTTCAAGCACTATTGCTAGGATCCTGTATTAGAGTTTGCTTTTGGCTATTTCAGCACAGGCCCTTAACTTTTGTGAGGATGACTGATTAGTCCCTTCAAATGTCTCATCATCTGGACTGCTCATTTAACTGATGATAAATGAAGAGCATGCATAGCTGCCCTTGTGTTGGGGGTCAGCTGATTATCCCCATCCCCAGCCTTAATAGTTTAAAACAGTTTTAACTCTTAGCTTGAAATTAGACTATGGCCATGTTCGTAATATAGGTTGCGTGTGGGTTCAACAAATGCTTTTTGACAGCCTGTCATAGCCAATATACAACTGCTCTTGTCTGTTTTGCTGCTTTTCTTAGTCCCAAGAGAGCCAATACTTTCACATTGCTCTTAAAGCAAAGGCCAAGTAGTCGTCAGAGAAAAATCAATTCCACAACTAGGTAGTGTGGGCAACATTTTACGAATGTGTGTCAGAAGACAGACTGAGTTAAAACATTTTACTAGAAAAACTGAGTTAATTTCCTCCCTATGACAATTCAACACAAGTGGTTTTTGCTTCATAATTCCATAAAGGGCTATGTGTAGGCCCAGTTGAGCTCTTATTAGCAGATCTCATTGCTTCTCACACAGGTCTTCATGGGGAATTCTTTGCCAGCCCTAGGTATGGATCATACCACATTACCAATTAACCCATTACTCAGAAAATTCTCAGGGATTAGGGGAAAAAATTGATATAGGCAGGCTGAACACATTTTGTTGGACTTGAGTTAAGCTTAATGCTTAGATGTCAGGAATACAAGCCTGGCTTGTTATAAGGTATTCATTTTGTTCCCTAAAGTGGTAACAAAATCTGTTTTATTTCTGAGCTGTGTTTGAATACATGCTAAAAAGTGTAAGGTTTGTTAAGAAATGATGTAAGATAAATTCAGCCTTTAAAAAAGAAATGAGCGTATTAAGCAGCTTGTTTATATTGGTATGCCTGCAGCAAGTATATACATCACAAATGAGAGATATTATGTTATTAAAGAATAGGCTCGTTTGATCCCCAAAGTTCATCCCTTGCTAAGCCAGGAAAGAGGATTTCTAGGGTATGTAACCATGTTCTTTATTTTGAATTTAAAAGGTTTCATATTCCATTTATACTCCATTTCTCTTTAATTTCCTTAACTTGCCACATGCCCCTTTGTTTTGACATTCTGAAAAATTTATATTCAAGCCATGTTGTGAAATATGAATAGCGCATTTCAAAATGCCTTTGATTGGAAGGCGTTTAAGCCAGCCAACATTTACATATCACCTGGGTGCCAAGCCCTGTGTGTGAGGCACCTGGTCTGCAAAGAGCTCCTTTCTTTATTTCCAGTTGTCAAAGGAGTCACTTTATAATACCTCAGTAGGCTAAAGTCAGCATTTGAGAGAAACGGCAAAGATCAGATTTCAAGTCCTTTGAATAAAGTTGTTTGTAATCAGCTATTATGTAGCCAGTACTATCTAGAAGCCTACATTTCCCTCCAGAAACTTAATTCAGCTGCGCTTAGGACTTTTAACTTCTCAAAGTAAAATAGTTTTTTGATGCATGTTTTCATTATATTCCTTATAAGGTTATAAATGATGGTTGAAAACAAGATCTCTAGTGCCAGACTTCTAGCTTTGGGTCCAAGCTCTAGCTGTGTGACTGACCGTGGGCAAGTTATTCAACCCTTCTGTGAATCAGTCTCCTACCTTAAAATGGGATTATGTGGTTATTACGTGTAACGCTCTTAGGACAGTGCCTGGCACATAATACCTAATATTTATTAAACAGTTGCTATTAGCCGTTAATCTTATCAAGTGTGGAAGGCAACAAAAGCATAAACGTTGCCTGGGCCTCCCAGTCCCAGCACTTTTCAAAAGCAGCACGTGGGTCTGTGGAAAAATCTCAGGTTTGAAATTCATGACTGTCCTACCACCTGTTACACAAGAAAATTGTGGAGACTATTTAATATGCGGCCTGTAGCCACTGTTCAAAGAGACCATAATCTGCAAATCTGTATCCTGAACTCTTAAACAAACCAAAGCTTTGCACACACAAAGTCCACCCTCCCATTTCCTGACTGCCCCCAGCTCTGCTACATTGTTTAAGATGTTGAGTACCTTTAGAGAGGAAGCTGCAGCTGCTGGTCTTTAGAGCCAAGAGCCAACTCTTGCTCAATTGTTAGGCTACTGTGGACAAAATAGGCAAAGCTCAAAACAAGCCATGTTGCATCTGTTAGTAGTAGGATACAAAAGAAAATTCAAACATTTCATTGAGGAATATAACGAAGACCAGATTTTTTGCTCTCATTTGATGAGATTCTTCCCCAGGCTCCTATTTTTGATGCCTGTAATACTTGCTGCCATCATCACATCAGTGTGAAAATAGTGAAAGTTTGCTTGATGTTTTGGTGGATAAATCCAGCATTGGGGTTTCAGCTGTCAATCTGAGCATCAGATTTATGCTGCCGCTAATGCTATTAGGGACCCTAGTTTCCAATTTACAGGAACTTACAGAATGTGGCATGCCTTTATTAGAAGCTGGCATCTGCTCCTTTGTGCCAGTTGTCAATTTAAATGAAGATGTTTAGAGCCAGGTTGTTTTTTTGATTGATAACAGCCTTGCTTACTTCTGAAGTCAAGGTCTAAAAGTAATTATACAAATCATCCCTTTCCTCTATCAATATATTACCAGATGATATATGTTACTGAAACAAAACTAAGTAAACCATCTGGCTTTGCTATGTTGACATGGAGTTAGCAAATATTGTTGTACCATGTCACTTAATAATTATTCAGCATGACTTAATTTCTCTTCCACCTTTCCCCCATCCCATGCAATAAGTTCAAACGCAGTTTTCCAAGAATTATTTGAAAAGAAGCATAAGAGGGGGATTTATTAAATGTAACTGTGAAATGACTTATTCGTGGCTTAGGAACTGAGAAATTAAAATCCAGTGGACATTGTTGCCGCTGTAATAGGCAACATTCATTCAGCCCAACCGTTAACGTCAAGTTGGAAATGCTGTTTTCTTAAAAGCCCTCCTGGATTTAGAGAGTTTTATATGGGAGTGAGAGACTCAGAGTCCAAAAATCAATGTCTTCACAGAGAGGTTTACTGGAAGACAAGTTAAAACAAACATTAATATCTTGAGTGTGGTTATGATAAACACTTCCCAA